TGTGGACATACAGGACGTTATGACAATCACATCGTGTGTGGACATACAGGACGTTATGACAATCACATCGTGTGTGGACATACAGGACGTTATGAACATTTTTATTCAACAGTTTGGAAAACAGTTACATCAAAGTAGATTAATCGGTGATAAAAGAGAAATTTCCGAAGGCACTCAAAGAAAATCTGTGTATTCTAGGCTTTCTCTCCCTCTCTCCTCTCTCATCTCTTCATTTTTCTTGTTCTCGGGGAATAAACCCTGCACATGCTAGCCAAGTACTCTATCACAGAATTACCCTAAGCATTATTTCTTAAGCAACTAAATTAGTTTTGTTTTGTCTGCTCTATTCTCACACCATATAAACATTACCTCTTAAATGAAGATCTGGGAAAAACCCCGAGATGTAGCTTTTTTTAAAAAAGCACAATGAAGCTACTAAAACTGTCTGTAGCTATTTCTTACACCATTATAATTTCTGAGCTCTTCACATGTCTCTGTTGTGGAACTCTCTTCTGGGCACGATGCAGCCATTGCCATTGTGGATTCAGGGCAAGACAGCACTTACTAACATTTCCTTGTGGAAGTGTGAAAGGCGTGCAAGGCTGTGTACAGGGCTCTGCCTCTCCCTGAGGGGTCAGTTGTTGCTATGGAGGGGTATTCTTTGGTGGCATCGTTGTCTATAAGTTGCCCATGCCTCTGTAAGCAGCCCTTCACCCATCCTCCTGTCTGTGTCTCCTCACGGAAAGTTAACACAGCAACTTCACTTAACTGTTCCTCTTCGGAAAATATTTATAATGCCCTCCATTAAAGAAAAAAACCTCTGATAATAACATTTTCTAATATTCCTAAAGTACTTTTTTTTTCTCAAATCAACTAAGTATTTTAGAAAAAGAAAATATTAAGAGCATCTGCTCTAGAGAAGGAGTCTTAGATGGGGTTTTGTTTTTACAGCACACATAAGCAGCTTTCCATATTGTTTTACACAGAGTTTGTGCTCAAGAAAGCAGCTTGTACTGAACTATATCGAGTATGACATCATATAATGCCATTATGATTACAATACGAAGAGCTCACCCTTGAGCAAAGCATCAGAGCTCGCTTATATATAAGAGAAGTGGTAACTCATCTATCACGTGTAAGTAACTCCCTGGCTAGTCATGCCGCCGGAAATAAGTTCATTCTTATGCACTGGGTGTTCACTGTCCTAGGCCCTGAGCTAGGTCTGAGAAACACAGAGATGGACAAGATGAGCTTTGTCCTCTGCCATCTGTCACAGCCTGTGCAGACAGCTGACCAGGGAATACAGCTATGAAATCAGGTGGCCCGAACTTGCTCAGGTCCAAATTCTCACTCTCCACGTTCTGCTTTTCATTGCTGGAGTGATGGGCTTCTCTAGGTAAGCTAGAAGAAACAGGCAGACACTCTCTCAACACAACAACGTGCCACAGAGGCATTCCTTTGTCCTGTAGGAAGAATCTGAAAGATTTTAACTTTTGCATCTAAACAGAAATCTTGGACCACTCTTCCTGGAAACAGTGCACTCAGCAGTGAAGCCCTGATTCTGGAGGAAGCAGATATAGAAACCTCACCAAAGTGGGCGGGGTTCAAGAAGAGCAGGAAAGAGATTGCAGGATTCCACTTGGTAAGAAAAATAGACAAGTTATCAGATTTCACAACTGGCCTGCAATGGGACTGTCCACGCTTTTCTAGCTGTCGGGAGCCTAAAGGACTGCATTGACGAAGCAGGGGTGTTCTCACAGGATGAAGAGACCAGAGGCTGCAGGGCAGGTGAAGAAGGGCTTGGGAGCAAGAGAATCTTCAGGGATCCGTGAGTTGTTCAGTAAGGTTCAAGCACAGGCCATGTCCAAAGAAGCTGACCCCATGACACCGCTTTCTTATTAGATGATCAGTGGTAACCCTTGCTCCTGCCTGGGACACATTTGGGGCCGGAAAGCACAGCTCAGTGTTGAGCAACCGAGTCTCCTCTGGGGGATGAGGGAAAACAGAAACGGGGGGCTGAGTCGCTTTCCTCAGGGACACAGGCCCCAGGGGACAGACTTTTGTAATATTGGTCTTCCCCATCCAGCACTTTGATTTGTCTGCAACAGAGAAAAGAGGATTTTCAACAGGAAAATCAAACAGACACCACGATCACCTCTGGTGTACCTAAAGTTGTGTGTGTGGTGGTGGTGGGGAACTGGAACAGGGGCTACACCCTGATCAGCTCTGAATGTCCCCACATTTGGGGTAGTATCTTGAGTTTGATAATAAAGCTTTTCACCTTTCTGGGCCATGGTAAGTACCTAAAACTTGTGGTCACATTGTAACTTGATTTTTTATGTGGTTAAGTGGTCTGTCTCCTGGTGTCCTCTCCAGACAGTTTCGCCCCTGACCCCCCTCAGTTCAGAACCATGTCAATTATCGCCTCCCTTTCTGGTCACCACTGTGAGCTGACAAAGAAATGTGCCAGGTACTTCTTTCTCATCATTCCTTGCAAGTGTTAAGTCTGAGGGAGTATTAAATATGGCGGGAGTGCCTGTCTGCACTTGGGAAAGTGCTCTTACTTACTTAAGGAAGGAGGGTTTTGTACAACTCACAGCCAGTCTTTAATTATGATTCCAATGCCCCGGAATGATCAGGAGAAATAACATTCGTCTTAGGTGACAATTTCAACCTTTCGGGGCAGAATGGATTCAAGTTTTGTGTACTTGCTACCATGAAAAAGAATTGCTAGTGTGAATAACAGTGGCAGCATATGGGTGGAGTATTTTCAGAAGGCTCTCTGGAAAGTTGCGCCTTTTCTATGGTATCACAAAGGACCCCTTCTGTTTACAGTTGCTGAAAACTAAGAAGACAGATATTTACCCAAGTTTTCTTGGCTTCCTCTGGCTCCCTTGATATTCTAGAGTTCCCTGTGGATAGGGCCAAGAACACACAGTCAAAGCGAAGCACCAAGTCGTTAATTTTTAATTCAAAGTGATTTTGTGTTGAATGCAAGCAGATGCTGATAATATCAGAAGTCACAGCATAATTTTTTTGATCAAAGGGCTCAAGTGAGCCTGATGAAGCATGCATCTTGCTCGTCTTTGATAAACCACATCAATTATTCACCGTGAAGGCAGACATCCTGACATGAAAGCAACAGATAAAGAGCCTAAGCACATGTTCAGGAGGAGAGCAGAGGAGAGTGGGGGTGGGGCTGGAGGGGCTGGAACAGGTATTAATAACAGAATTATTAACTGGAAACAAAGCCGGTAAAACGGCTTTACGGCCACTTTGAACTCACATTTAACTGGTTATAGTACATGGTGTCCTCGGGGCTACTCAACATTTTGGGCTGCTGACACCGTCTTCGAGGTGCTCGCTGCTGCTTCTGTGAGAGGCCATCTTCTGAACCTGCAAACAAGGAAACTTGAGTGCAAGCCTTGCTGGGTGTAGGGAGGAAGAACTAGGAAATCACTGTAACTGTAAATGTACTTGACTGAAGCCCTGGCCGGTTTTAATGAAGCTTTGCTACTTCTAGGAGAAATGTCATCACACACACACACACACACACACACACACACACACAATCATTAATCATAAGGCAGGGTGCTGGCATCTGTAACTTCGCTGCATATTTCCAACTTGAATCATCAGGCCAGAGTTGACAGAAAGCAAATCGGTTTGTCCACACTGCAGAGGTAGAAGCTGGTTGGTGGTCAGCCTCTCTGCTCAGGAAAGTCCCTGGAGCAGGATAAGTCCATTAAGGACAACAAAGCAGTCTGGCATGGCTCGCACCCCATCCTCTAGTGAGAGTTCAAAGACATCTGGAACACACATACTCCCGGGGAGAGCGAACCTTTCAGCGTTTTAGGGGGACACGGCTTGAGCTAGTACTTAGTGGAGTGCTTTGAATCATGCCATTGATTCATGCGGCCTCTGGAGGTGACACACGGGAGGAGGAGAGGGACGGCTGCATGGGGCAGACTCTTCTGGTCCGCCTTGATTTCAAACCCCGGACCTAGAGTGAGTCTGGGATTAGAAGCCACATGGGGGATGACACCATGTTTACTTCCCTTCCAGGAAAGAGTGTGTGCTACTCTTCAGAGGAACCGGGTTCAGTTCCCAGCCTCTATGTCAGAGGGCCCACAACCACCTGTGACTCCAGCTCCAGGGCAATTGGATGCTTTGACTCTGAGCCCGTGCACTCATGTACACACGCACACATGCACACGCATACACACATCTGCCAGAGGATATTGTCCTTGAACACTGCAGGATTGCAGAGAAGGCATTTCATGGACAGAATGTTTATGAGAAGCTAATTGTTCACAAAAGGGAGTTGGGGTGGTGGCAGGGGAGATGGCTCAGTGGTTAAGAGCACTGGCTGCTCTTGCAGAAGACCCAGGTTCAATTCCCAGCACCTACACGATGACTCACAACCGTCTGTAACTCTAGTTCCAGAGGATCTGACGCCCTCTTCTGGCCTCCAATGGCAACACATGCATATGGCACACCAACACACACATGTAGGCAAAACACCATACACACAAAATAAAAATAAATCTTAAAAAAAAAAAAGAATTGGAGATTTGTGTTTAAAATCATATTTTAACCTCAATAGAGATTTTCACTTTGGGTGGAAATTATAGAGAAAAATTTTTTTTTACATTTTGTACGCTTTGTTCTAAAATCCAAGAGCCGATTGATACACAAAAAACGTTAACATATGCACATTCTAGGGTTGCCACACGAGGGTTCTATGCACAGGCCGGGTAATACTTAAATCGGGTCCAGCATACCTCCCTTCTCAAACATCTGACATTTCCTTGTGAGGGAAAACGTTCACACTCCTTTCTTCTGACTCCGAAATGCCCGGTAAATTGCGGGGGCACACAGCCGGCCCACCGTGCACCCGCACACTTTCGTACTCCTGTTTCAACTGTATCCACCGACCACCTCTCCCCCCATTCTGTCTTCCGGCCTTGGGCAGGCAGCATTCTACTTCCGGGAGATAAACTCCTCTTTATCCCACAAACGAACGACAGGTGTGGTCCTCGTCTTATTTTAGTTCACACAACCAAATCTAGTTCTGTCCATGCTGTTCCAAACTACCGAGCTTCGCTCTTGTTAAAGCTGAGTCGTATTCGATTATGTCTATGAGTCGTATTCTCTTTAGTCACCAACTGATGGACACTTGGGTTCTTTTCTTTCTTTCTTTTTTTTTTTTTCCCAAATGGTCTCTTTATTATTTCTTTTTTCCCTTCCTTTTTATTTATTTTATCAAATTTTCTATTCATTCTACACACCAACCATAGATCCCCTCTTCTCCCTCCTCACGCCCCCCAGGTTATTTTCAATTCTTGGTAGTTGAAAATAGTGTTTTAATGAACGTGGGAGTACAGATTACCTCTTTGACACACTGACTTCATTTCCTCTGGGTATCTACCCTGTAGAAGAATTGCTACATCATGGAATATTTTTTATTTAAAAATTTTAATTATCGCCGGGCAGTGGCGGTACATGCCTTTAATCCTAGCACTTGGGAGGCAGAGGCAGGCAAATTTTTGTGTGTTTGAGGCCAGCCTGGTCTACAAAGCGAGTTCCAGGACAGCCAAGAGCTGTTATACAGAGAAACTATGTCTTGAAAGACCAAAAAAAATTTTTTTAATTACTATTTTATTTCATGCATATGGGTGTTTTGTCTTATGTCTGTGCATCATGTGTGTGCCATGTGCCCACTGAGGTCGGAAGAGGGCATTAGCTCTCCTGGAACAGGAGTTACAGATAGTTGTGAACTGCCAGGTGGGTGCTAGGAACTGAACCCAGGTCCTCTGGAAGAGTAAGTGCTCTTAACCACTGAACCGTATCTCCAGCTCTTTTCTGTGGATTCTTTTGGTAAATATCTCTTTAGGTTCATTATTTTTTTTTACATTTATTTATGTGTTTGTTTATATGCATGCCTATGTTTGTGGTTTGGCATGCATGTGGGGTCAGAGAACCCTTCTCTTTTCCACATGTAGGTTCTGGGGGTCAGTCTGGGGTTGTCAGACTTGGGGGTAGGTGCCTGTGCCGGTCGTTTTATGTCAACTTGACACAAGCGGGAGCCATTTGAGAAAACGATTTAACTGTAAGCAGGCCTGCAGTGCATTTTCTTGATTAGTGATGGCTGTGGGAGGCCACGCCCACTGTGGGCGGAGCCCCTCTTGGGCTGGTGGTCCTAGGTGCTAGAAGGAAGGAGGCTTGCTGGGTATGGTGGCACACTCCTTTAGTCCCAGAACTGGGGTGGGGGTGGGATAGGGGTGGGGGTGGGGGAGGCAGAGGCAGGCCGATTCCTGAGTTTGAGGCCAGCCTGGTGTACAAAGCGAGTTCCAGGACAGCCAGGACTATACAGAGAAACTGTCTCGAAGAACCAAAACCCAAAATAAACAAATACCTACATAAATAAATAAATATTAAAAACAAAAACAAAAAAGGAAAGAAGGCTGAGCAAGCCATGAGAAGCAAGCCAGTAAACATTCCTTCTCCCTGGCTTCTGCATCAGTTCCTGGTTGCAAGTTCCTGTCCTGCTTAAGTTCCTGCCTGCCGGGACTTCCTTTAACGATGGAGTGCAGATGTAGAATTATTAACTGAAATAATCCCTTTCCTCCCCAGGTTGCTTTTGGTCCTGGTGTTTATCTCAGCCACAGAAACTCTAACTAAATCTTTACCTGGTGAGCCATCTTACTGGCCCTTACAAAAGGCGGGGGGTGGGGGTGGGGGCTCAATGGTTAGGAGCACACATTGCTTTTCCAGAGGGTCCACAACCACCTGTAACTCCAGTCTACGGGATTTCATACTTCTGGCCTTGGTGGCATCCACATTCATGAACACATATCTATATACATACAAAGACATCATAAAAAATTTTTACATTTTAAACTTATTTCTGTATTTTGTATATGTATGGTAATTTAAAAAATCTTTTTTATTTCTGCTAGTCACCTTTTTTTTTTTTTCAGTTTTGATTCTTGAGACAGGGTCTTACTATGCAGCCATGGCAGGCCTTGGAACTCACTCTGTAGACCAGGCTGCACTTGAACTCAGAGAGATCAGCTTGCCTCTGCTTCCCAAGTGCTAAGATTACCAAAACAACAACAACAACAACAACAAAACCCAGTTTCAAGCAGAGTAGAAGCTCCAGAAAAGCATATTAACTAGCCTACAGAATGATATTGCGTGTTGAAGGCCCAACAGTCTTCACTGGCATTCCAGTGTCTGGGAACAATGTATGGCGCTCAGGTCCACTGCACTGCTTTCGCCAGAACTGAAGGATGGTTCCAATACATCCATTTCCCGTTTCCTTTCAAAGTCCGTACTCGGCAACATGGCAGTCTGCAAGGTGGTGCGGCCTTTGTGTGTTCCTCCCTTCCTGATTTCTAAGATGAACGAGCAGGTGTCTCAAGGGTTCAGGTGGCTGGTGTGAACACGGCAGTACAAGGCTGCCATCTGCTCTCCCTCAGACTTTCAAATGTTCCAGGAATTCTACCCGAGGAAACTCAAAAGGCTCATCTGAAATAGCCCTGGGTTCAGCTGGAGTTCAGCCCATTTCAGCAGGACTTTGTACAATGTTTACCCTTGATCAGAGGCTTGCGCTTGCCCCTCTCACCTGGCGGAGCTTTGGATAAGACGTGGTACTCGACTTATGCTTTTAATGAACTCAGTTGTGTGGGTGGCTGTTCCTCAGCTTCTTCGATGGAATTAAGTCAATGGCTAGAATTTCACTAGCTTTAACATTTCTCCCACAAATGTAAAGAACATTGGTGTTTAAGCATATGGTTTTTATACTCCACTAGAATCTGTCATAGTCTGGCCATCTAGTTTAGCATGGGATTATAGTTTTTCCTAAGATTAATGTCTCTGTGTCACCGTGTTCTACAAAGAGTACAGCCACCTTTTAGTGCTTTGTCACCGGGGGAAAATCCAGGTTAAGTAAACAAGAAAATAATTGTTTAATGAATACTGTTAGAAAGCTAGTATCGTGTTCTCCCTCACTTGCAGAACATAGGCAATAACATATGTGTATGTGTAAACAAATCTATATGTGGGCACAGTATAACATGTGGGAAAGAGAGCAAGAAAGGGTAAATATTAGGAAGGATGGAATGGAGGTAATGAGCATGGGTTATGAAAGAGAATATTAAACTAACTGCTTAACTAGTTTTAACTCTGTCATAGGTTTGGTTTTTTTTTTTTTTTTTTCACTTTTTGTAGAGGATAAGGACATACACATGTCTTTGTTTGTGGCTTTTTTCCCACTTTTTTTTTTTGGAGGATAAGGACATACACATGTCTTTGTTAGGATGCATGCACTTGACATCATGACCGGCTTGTGGCAGTTGTAACACCACACCTAGGGCTTCCTGTATGCTTGG